CACTTGCTGCTTTCGCATGGTTTCGTCTAACCGAGCACTTACGCTTCCTTCCGGGAGGGATTTGTTCACTGCTTTTGGGTTATCTCCTGAGTGCTTGCTCTGAGGCGGATGGGAATGCCCCTGGGACGCATGCCTGCTCCCCTCCTGCCGGAGCCCCCCTCAAGCAGCTGACACTCAGCACCTGCGAACGTGGCAAAGCCGACACGATCACACCATGGAACGTTATGCAAGCTCTGAAGGAGCCACGGGGCACCGGGGGGCTCAGTTGGTTAAGCGTCCAACTCTTGGTTTCAGCTCGGGTCGCGATCGGGGTCCTGGGCACGAGCCCCACGGCAGGCTCTGTGCTCAGCAGGGAGTCTGCTCCAGATTCTCTCTCTCTCCCTCTGCCCCTCCCGCTGGTGCTCACTCTCAAATAAATAAATAATTCTTAAAAAAAAAAAAAAGCTGCAGCCAGAAGAAAGGGTAGCAGGGGGTCGGTGCCCTAACCCAGGGGTGTCAGGGGTCAAGTACATGCCATCTCCTCTCAGGACAGAACTACCTTCACCGCGGCTCCTTGTTCTGGGTGGACTTGATCTGCTGTCTGGGTCACTTGCTCCGAGGGCAAAGGTGGGCCTCGCAGCCGCAGGTGTTTCTGTGTACCCAGAAATCGTTCACTTGCTTTATCTTGGGTGGACGCGGGCTCGGGGCCATGGTCTCCTCTGAGCACGCGGACCGTGCCAGCCCTGCCCACGCCCTGCCACCAGCCTTGCTGGGCGCGCTCGGGCCCGGGGCAGCTTTCCCCACGTTTCCGCCTCTCCAACCCACTGTTCGTCCCACCGGACCTCAGCGAGCCTGCTGATTTGTAGATGAACATTTCCCAATAATCTGGGGGCTTGGGGGACACTGTTTTTTCTATTCCTGCCTACTGCCCTCTACTCCAGGGCTCCGACGGCCTGCACCTGAGCACCCCTGCGCAGTGTGGTCACCTGGGTCTCCAGGTCAGACAAGGTCACTGGTTCTTCCTGCTGCTGAGCCCTTCTCGGGAACTCACTTCAGACCTTGTACCGTTTGGCCCCGAAACCCCACTCGGTTCTTCTGGAGGGTGGTGATTCCTATCTTCCCGTGGATGCTGTGGTCTGTGCCTTCCTACCCTCTGACCGTGCGCACAATGGCCAAGTTCAAGTCTCTGCGCAGCTGGTTCTACTACCTTTCTCCTGGGGTCTGGGCCATTCTTCCTTGTTCTTTTCATGTTCAGGTGGGAAACTGGTCCTGTTAGGGCGCGCGCTGCAGCAGTCTTGGATCCTGGCACCCTGCGGGGTCGCATCACTGCTGCCCTGCAGCTTACTTTGTTTGCTGGTGCTGCATGGGGTGGGGGTGGGGCTGCTCGTGCCTCGCCCGCGCCCCCTGCAGCCCCCCTGCAGCCCCGGGCTCGCCCACAGTCACCCTGGGAGGACAGCGGCTCCGGTGAAGCTGCTGGCCTGCTCCCTCCCACACCAGCTCTTGGTCTCTGCTCCTTGGTTGCTGAGTGCTGTGTTTTCAGCAGTCACACCCTCGGCGTAAATGGTTCGGAGCCTAATCTAACAACTTTGGCTTCGAAAGAACAGCTCCTGAGATCAGCGTCGGAGATTTTTCCTGACCCACAGCCCACCTATGGCTCAGCCTGTGTCACCGATAAACCCACCACTCCTCCCACGTGCTTTCTCTACGAGCTCCCCCTTTCACGAGCACCACTGAACCTCACACTCTGCTGCAAGCGGTCAGTCCTCTTGTGGAGGGAGGGGGACTGCGCCCCAGCTGCCTCTCCCCTGGAAGAACCTCTGAGCTGCAGCCTTGGCACCAGGCCGGACACAGGGCTGCTCCTTCCTGACAGCTCTGGGGGTGGGGGGCTGCCCTCCCAGCCCCCCAGGGCTTCCCCCCATGTGGAGCCCCCACTCCAGGACTCGAGGCCGCCCCGCATCGCCTGCCTCCTCCCTCTACACGCTGTGTCCTGGCAGAGGGGGGCTGAGGCCAGAACGTGGCTGCAAGCGAGGCCGTGGTGCAGGGAGGGAGCCAGGAGACCCCGCCTGGCCCTCCCAGGCTGCTCCCTCGGCTTTCTGCAGCCACGCTGCCCAGACGTCCTCGTGGCTGCTGGTACCTATGTGACAGGGACCTGGCCCCAAGCACAGGAGCAGAAGTCACCTGTGCCAGCTGAGGGGACGCTCAGGGGAAGCGGCATGCTTTCCGCTTCTCCAGGCAGAAAGATGGCAGGGTGGCTATTGGAACTGTCCTGACATGGGAAGTGGGAGCGCCAGGTGACAGGTGGCACAGGAGCCCGGCACCCCGGATCAACCTCCTGGACTTGCCGGCTGCGCCTGGGGCAGGTGGGAACCTGGCTTCTCTCTCCTGCCCTCACGGACCTACTAACACCCAAGCCACCTCAGCCCCTCACCTATGTCCCAGCCTCCTCAGCAGTGTCCTGCCCTTGTCGGTAAACCCGTGCTCCCTGGAGGCAGGACGGGGCCTTGATGACTACCCCCCGGCCTCAGGCTGAGCACAACGCCCGGCACACAGCAGGCACTCGATACCTGCCACACTCTAGGCTACACGATGGATGAAACATGACAATGTTCACACGCCAAGAAAGCCCAGGAGCTGGCACCTGTGACAGCGCCTCCCCGAGCAGCTCAGGCTGGGCCTCGGCGGCAGATCGCTGGACCCCGTCCGCCACACACACTGCTTCCTGCGCACACGGGCTCCCAGGAAAGCATGCGTCTGCCTCGTGGCCATCCCAACCCTGAGCTGCCTCCGACGGATCTCCTTCTGGCCCAGGTAAGACGAGCCGGAGGGTGCGAGCACGTCCCAACAGGATAGAGAGGCCCCCAGATGCCCGCTGACCCCACTGCCGGGGCTCTGGGCCTAGTGCTCATGGGGGAGCGGTGCCCAGGCTTCCTGAGGTGCCTCAGCAGTGACCGAAGAGGGAGGGAGGGGACTGGTCCCTCCCAGCTCCCATCTCACACCCAGAAAGGCCTCGGAAAAAGGATCCTGAGGCCAAAGCACTCTGACCACCCGCACCTGAGAGTGCCGAGCGAGGCAGCTGGGAAAGGCCCTGGGAGGACGAGTGGGTGCAGAAGTCTCTGGCAGGAGCACGGGGCACCGGGACGGGGGCGGAGGCGCTCACCAGCCGCTGGGCCACATGGCTCTGCAGACAGCCCTGCACGCCCCGCAGCCAACTGCAGCCCGGGGCACCTAGCTCTGCCTGAGGCCCACGTGAGGGGAGGCACGCTGCTCGTCAGAGAGGGAGGCAAGCGAGGCCAGGCCCGCTGGGTCTCAGAACCTCCCAAGGAGCCTGAGGCTTCGACCTGGCTCCGTGGATGCTTCTGGAAGGAGCGCCCTGAGCACAGACACCCCTCAGGCCGTCCGGTGACAAGCAGTTACTGACCAGCCACGAGACGGGATGGCCGGGCAGGTGCCGAGGCAGGATGAGGATCCATGGCCTGGGGTCTACAGTCTGGACAAAGCCTCCCCAGGGGACCCGGGAGCCCACCTGTCCTGCCCCTGCCCGGCTCCACCCACCCCGCAGAGCCTTGCTGTTCAAGAGCCATACAGGCTGTGGGGAGACAGCTTCTCAGCATCTGTCCACCTGACCATGCTGCCACCGCCGCCACCACCACGAGGTGAGGGCAGATGCCCCCATGACTCTTGACACCTCACTTCCCGCGGCACCGCAAGCAGCTGCAATTCAACAGCACGGGCCACACGAGTCCACTGTGGCAGCCAAGCACACAGGGGCAGATGTCACCCCGGTGCAGGAAGGAAGCCAAGGGACAGCGGCTTAGCCCCAAGGCCGTGTGCCCCCAAGACTCCACAATGAAAATGGCCCTGCTAGGTTCCCGATCCTCACGTGCATTTAAAGCAGGAAGCACCATGTCCAGGGCAGCACCACGGCAGCAACGGCCGTCCCTCCGGGGTTTGCGGAGACGTAATGCACAAACCAGACACTGCGTCCCCTCAGCCGCCGGGGGAGGCCCCAACAGGCCAGCGGGGTGGCCAGGCTGGAACCCGAAGGCGGAGCAATGAAACACAGTCACGGCCCAGAGGTGCACAGGGAGGGTGCGCGCCTCCGCCTATAGTCCCTGCCAGCCTCAGCGTGGGTGGCGGGGAGCCTGCCGGCAGCCACGGGACAGACGCTCACGTCTTCACACAGGCAAGCCGGGCACCCTGCTCTTCCCTGCACGGAGTACTGAGGGACAAGCAGCTGAACACAGAAGCCCGACACTGCTAGAGATCTGACCGGCTCGCTTACTGCTGGGTCGCACATACACACCTAAGACTAACTTCTAGACGCCTCAGCAAAATTTAGGAACAAACAGGCAGTAAGTGCAATCTTCCAGGGCACACGGGTGTCAGACTATGCCGCAGACCTGGAACCAAGCCCACACATGCCCGCGGGGCCACCGGCCTGCCCTTGGGGCAACCTGCAGGCCTGGGCAGACAGTCTGCTTGCATTAGGGGGCGCAGTCCCCACGTCCTGCGGCCTAGCCCCAGGGGTGAGACACCCTGGCAACGTGGAGGAACTCTCAGGAGCCTGATGAGGCTGAGCGAGTCCATGGCAGTCACCAGCAGGGTGACGATGCGCCACCCATAAAGCCACAAGTAGGGACGGCCGCCACATGGCAACCGAGCCCCGAGGGAAAACACTAGCCTGTCATCTGGCTGCGGGCACTGCCGTCAGGTGGCTCAAGGGCAGGCTTTCCTCCCTCGGACAGATACCTCCACCCATGCGCGCGGCTTGGCCGGAGAACACGGGGCCAGAATCTGCCAGCACGGTCCTAGGTTCTGGCCACGGGACGCTCCGGTCAGCTTCGGGCTTGGTGGGCCCTTCCAGAACAGTGGCTCATGTTCCCATGCCAGGATGGAAAGCACAGTAAGCCCGCGATGACACAGACACACGGGGATGGGCCATCTTGAGCGGCCGAGACCCCACGCCGGGCGCCCCAACCTCCTGGGCCAGCTCTGGGCCACCTGCGTGGGCTGTGCGGACGTCAGTGCTTGCCAGCTGTGGATGAGCAGGGCAGAGGGGAGGCCTCCGGGGGGGTCTCGAGTTTGACCACGGCCCTAAGGGCCATGCACCGCCGCTTCACCTGCCGCTGCCTGGCAAACACCGAGTGCAGTGCGCGCAGCTGCCCCACCTCCTGTGCTGTGAAGCAGGGCTGCCCCTCGGCGAAGCGGACCACAGCATCAAAGGACGCCGCTGCCTGCTCCCAGGCGGCCTCATCACCGTCCTTCTCGGCCGGCTCCAGGCTCCCCGCAGCCGGGGCCGGGTCCTCCCCGGCCGCACAGCCTGGCCCGCTCCGCTCGGTGGCTGTGCCGCGGTGAAGTCGGCTGCCAGGGCGACCGGGGACCTCTCTACCCAGCTCCAGGATGTGCGCGAAAGTCTGATCGTGAGGCTTCACCTGGAGGCCATCTGGATCCTCGTCAGAAGACGAGCCTTCGGCAAACGTGACTGCGGGCCACAGCTTCTTCCAGGCACGGCTGAAGACGTGGCCTGGCACAGCGCTCCAGGCGCAGGCCACGTTGAAGACGGCGTCGTTGGTGCTGTAGCGGGGGTGGCAGCCCTGCAGCGGGCCGGGGGGGTTGAGGAAGTGCCTCATGAAATCCCTCCGAATGCCCTGGTCCATGGGCTGAATCAAGGAGGTGACGCTGGCAGGCAGAAAGATGGTGAAGATGTTCCCAGAGACCAACTCGGCCTCCCGTGGCCGGGCGCGGGCATGGTCCAGCAGCAGGATGGCTTTGCCGTCCTCGGGCAGACCCGCCGCTCTGAAGTGCTCCTTCACAGACGGGACGAAGATATGATGGAACCAGTCAGAAAAAATCTCCTTGTCCACCCACGCGTTACCCTGGGCCTTGTACGCCACAGGCAGGTGCTGGATGCCCCCAAAAGCCCGGGGGGCACCGCATTTCCCGATCACCAGGGGTTTGATTTTGTGGGAGCCGGTGGCGTTGGCACACATCAGGACGGTCAGCCTGTCCTTGTTCTGCCGGACGCCAGGCGCTGGACCGCCCTCCAGGCCGGGATTCGGCAAGCACCGCCAGAAAAGGCCGGTCTCATCAGCGTTGTAAACCTGCTCAGGGGACAGGCCGTGCTCAGCAGTCAGGCTCTGGAAAAACCCACAGAACTGCTCGGCCGCTCGGTGGTCAGCCCCCTGTCTTTCCCCGGATGCGTCCAGCTTCTTAATGCCGTGTCTGGCCTTAAACCGCCACAGCCACCCGCCAGAGAACACGCAGGGCTCCGTCAGCTGCATCTGCTCGTAGAAGTCCTTGGCCTTTTCGATGAGCATGGGGCCGGAGACGGGCACGCCCTCGGCGCGCTTGCCCAGGAACCACTCGTACAGCACGCGGTCCAGGTGCTCGAGCTTGGGCGTGTGCAGGGTGCGCCGCTGCTCCAGGGCCTTGTTGGAATCCGAGTTGGCAAAGAAGCGGAGCAGCTGCGCCTTGTGCGCCTTGATGTCATATAAGGTGGACATACCCACGTTGTACTCCTGCATCAGCACCTTCCTGCTCTCCCCCTTCTCCAGCCGCGTGCAGATGTCAATCTTCTCCTTCAGGGTCAGCACCACCCTCTTGCGCTTCTCCCCCGGGCTCCTCCCAGCCGCCTGCTTGGAGGCCATTGGGGGTGGCTTGTCCCCAGCAGCTGGGGGGACACACACAGGGGGGGGGCGGTCCTAGCAGACTCCTTGCCCCCTCTCCTCTGCTCCCTCACCTGCCTGTCCCGTCCCACCGAGCCTGGGTCACCATGGGCACAGCCTCTCCTTCGTTCCCCCCTCCAGTGTCAGCCGCCCCTCACCCCGGCTGTTGCTGGTCTTCCGGGCTCCTGGTCCTCTCTGCGGGAGGGGATACTGGCACACTGGGGGTTCCTGGGGGACCTGTCCACCTGCTGGAACCTCTGGCCTTCTGAGGCGGATGGTGGCAGCTCCTTCCTTCAAACGTGGACCATCGAGTACCGGGGTCCTGGGGACAGTTTCCAGTTAAACAAGGTTGTGCGGTCTGTGCTGGGGACGCCTTTCTGGGCTCAAGGCACTGTCTTGCCCGCCGTGCTTTAGGAACTGGAAAGCACAACAGAGGAAGAAAGGACGTCAGGGACCATGTACCTGGGCCACCTGCACGCAAGTCCTTGCTACCTCGGGCACGTGGGGAAGCTGCAGCAGAGCGTCGCAGGGGTGACCAACACGGGAGCCGGCTGAGGGGCGTGACGTCCGGGAGGCCGCCCAGCTGCGCAGCGGGCTCCTCCAGCGACCTCCCGGTCAGCACGGCTCTTTCCGGCTGGATGCCTCCCTGTGCTGCTGAGCAGACGTGCGTGGCAGAGTTGAGGCATCCTGGCTGGATCCTTCAGGAGCCGCCCCTGCTGTGCCTCGCTGGCTAAGACGCCACCGTCCTCCAGCCCGTGAGGAGTCAAGGGCTGCTGCCCTGACAGTGACCGCCCCGCTGGCCTACTCGGTGCAGTTTGCTGGCACGGTCGTCTGCCACACAGCCTGCGTGTCCCCTCACTTCCTTCATGACCTGACCCCCCGCCTGTCACTCCGCTCCCACCCAGGAGGGATGGCCGGTCACCAGGGCGCCCACTACAGCCGGCTCGCTGCCTGCCATCACGTCCCGCAGTGAAGGGCGTGCAGGACTCACGGGTGGGCTTCCAGCAACTCCCCACCCAGCCTGCCACCCAGACCCTTACAGTGGCTGCGTCCTCCCTGTGGGAATGCTGAGGCCACGGGACCACTCATGCAGCCCCTTGAGACCACAACTCAAGAAAAATGAAGTTTATTCAAATGTAGGGACAGCACCAAAGACAGACCGTAGGCCCGTCTCCAGCCAGCTCTGGGCACGTCCTCCCCCCCGAGCCAGCCTCCTGGCCACGTGAGTGCGCTGCTCCTTCAGGGCTCCTAGCTGCATCCTACTTACTGGGCACGAGTGTGTGACCATGGAGAAGGAAAGGGCTCGACTGCCTTGCGATGTTCCCTCAGCAGCACAGGAAGAGAACCAGAGACTAACTCCAAGCACAGCAGGGGGGGCGGGGGAGGGGGAGGGAGGAGCTGGGCCTGCAGGCTGGTGTGGACGCCTCCCCGCCCTGCCCTGGGGGCTGTGCAGGCGGACGGGTCCAGCTTGCCAGACATACTCTTTAAGCTGAAACCCACATATTCTGATGTTGTGAAACAACTTCTTAAACCAAAAGCTAACTAACCTAGCAGAGCAAGAGAATGAAGGAGGTGTCTGTGTGTGGATTCAAAGCCAGCACTGAGGCCCGGGCCACAGGGCCACAGAACCACAGAACCCGGGGGTGGGGGGGGTGCACAGAGGGGGCAGGAGGGCAAGGAGGGCAAGGAGGGCGCACCCCTTCACAGCTCCCTTGTCCTTCCAGGGAAGAGGGGACCTTAGACCCAGCCTGAGGGGTTAAGGAGAAGGAAGTGGAGGAGGGGGCAGGGGGGGCTGTCTGGAGAAATAGTAAAGAGAAGAGGTACCCTGGATGCCCCCGAGGTAGATGAGGGAGGGAGACAAGGGAAGGCTCCAGGGGAGAGGAGGGCTGAGGAGGGAGCGCTGGGGGCACCTGCTGGGGACACGGGGCAGGAGGGGGTCCTGTAGGGCTGTTGGGGGAGGTTCCTGGGAGGGGTGGGGGTATCTTGGGGAGCTGTGGGGGTGGTCCTGGGGGGCGTGGGGGGTCCTGGAGGGCTGTGGGGAGGTATCTTGCGGGGCTGTCTGGGGCGGGGGTCCTGGGGGGCTGTTGGGGGGTTCCTGGGAGGGGTGGGGGTATCTTGGGGAGCTGTCGGGGTGGTCCTGGGGGGCTGTGGGGGGGGTCCAGGGGGGCTGCCGGGCGGGGGGGTCCTGGAGGGCTTCCCGGGGGGGGGTCTTGGGGGGCTGCCGGGGGGGGGGTCCTGGAGGGCTTCCCGGGGGGGGTCCTGGGGGGCTGCCCGGGGTGGGGGTCCTGGGGGGCTGCCCGGGGGGTCCCGGCGGCAGCGCAGGCCGCGGCGTGGCGGGAACCGGGCCCGTGTTCCGGCAGCGTCTCCTCCGCGGGGCCGCCCGGGGCAACGGGACACACCGGGAAGGGAACAAGGGAGACGGTGCGAGTCCGGGGCGCAGGTCCCGGGGCGCAGGTCCGGCGCGCACCCCGTGGCCCAGACTCCGCACCGCGGGGCCGGGACAGAGGAGCCCGCCCGGGAGCCCGCCGCCCCCGCCGCCCCCGCCGCGGCCCCCCTCACCTGCCGACCCGCCGCCGCCGCCGCCGGAAGTGCCCCGCTGTCCCCGCCCCCGGCCCGCGCCCGCCTCCCCGGCCGCTTCCGGGACGCTCTAGGCGGCGGGAGGACTGGGCCGTCCTCTCGGTGTCCGCGCGGGCCCCGCCCCGCCCCGCCCCCTGCACCTGCCGCTCAGGCGCACCTGCTGGAGCCGCGTCCACTGTGCGCTGCGGGACCCGGGGCTCCCGCCCACCCGGCGGACGGGGGCGCGGCAGGGCGGGCCCTTCCCTCCGTGAAACGCGGCGGCCGGCGCGGCTTTCGTGCCCCCGGGCCGCGTCCTCAGCTGGCGCCGCATCCACGCGTGATGGTGACGTGTGCGACTTCAGAGCTCCGCCACCTGCCCTGGGCCTGACGCCGTCGTGAGCGGAGCCCGCTGGGGGCCCTGGGATGGGGCGAATGCGGCTTGCGTGGCGGGGACAGATGTGAGCCCTTGGAGCCCAGCGAGCCCCGGGAGGCCGACCGGTGCCCCCCACACACCCCCGCCCCAGAACCTAGGGGTCCGTGACCTCAGGTGGCAGCGGGGGCTTTGCAGATAGGGTCAACTTAAGAGTCTTGAGATGGGGAGATGATCCAGATTATGGGGTGGGGCAGGCGGTGTAACCACGGGGTCTCGTGGAGGCGGGGTGGGGGGACAGTCGGGGAGCTCCTGTCGGCGGGAGCAGGGGACAAGAGGAAATGTCACGAGACACACAGGTAGGAGTGTGTGCTTTGCAGGTGAGGAGGGGCTGCAGGCCGAGGAGCCTCCAGGAGGAGCAGGGCCCTGCCCCCGGGTGTGGTACTTCAGCCCGCGGAAGGCCTAGTGTTTGTCACACGGCCACGGGGCCTGAGAGACTTCCATAGCCCCCCCATTCACTTTCTGCCCTGGGCTCCCTCCCCCCCCACAGGATTCCCCGCCGGCCCTCCCCACACCCTTGCCCCAGGTGACCAGGGTCTCAGCAGTACCAGCGGGCACAGACGTCCCAGCTCCCCCCCATGCCAGGACACCTCTGGGGAACCCTCCCCGCACCTCCGTGTGCACTGTCCACATTTCCAGACCCGAGTCCTGACACCGCCCAGACTTGCCCCTGCCCCATGCTCCCCACCTCTGCGGTCACTCGGGCCGTCCCCACCCCGCCCGCCCGAATGACCAGCAGCCCTGCCCAGCCCCACCCTCCCCACTGGCCTCCCCACTCCCACGGCCACTCTGTCCCTGGCCCTGGCCCAGGTTGCCTCACTTCTGTATTCCCCCCATCAGCCATTGATGAAGCACCCCAGAACTCAGTGACTCCAAACAGTAACCATTTTGCTGCATATGGTTCTGTGGGTCAGGAATTTGGGGATGCTAGAAGCAGATGTGTTTGACAGGAGAAAACGGGACTGAGCAGGGTCTCCTGGGGCAGCCAGGTGGCCCCCCTGGGAAGGCTGGCTCCATCGCTGTGTGTGACGGTCTGCTGCCACCTCGTGGACACGGGATTGCATGCACCTCCCAGACCCTGCACGGGCTCCCATGGTCACCCGGGGACTGCTCTGGTGGAGAAGGGGTCAGAAAGGGAGGAGGAGGAGAAAGAACTGGTGTATCCTGACTACTGGCACCCCCATCACCCCCAATGCATAGGACTGAGCCCCCCGACCACACCTGATCACAACAGCCTCCCCATCCCTGTTCACAGCCAGAGTGACCTTGAGAGCATCAGTGGGCCCCCATCCCCCCACCGGCTTCCCAGCGGGCCCCACAGAATGGTCCCCAGCAGGCCGCACCACATCTGCCTCTCACCACCCCCTGCAAGCCCACGGGAGTTCCTTCCCAGCAGGTGGTCCCTCAGCCCGCCTCCCCCAGGAGCAGAGCTTCTCACCCAGACACTGGAGGCCTCAGGTGGGGACACATCACCAGCCAGTCCCAGAAGGGGGCTCTTGGGGTGACAGGTCTCTCCTGGCAAGGAAGGGGGCCTCAGCTCCAGGTGAGGGTGCCTGTGAATTCCACACCCTGTGGCCATGGGGCGGCGCTGCCTGAGGCAGGCGGGGTGTCCTGGGCTCAGTGACCCTGCTCCAGGAGGGAGGGGAGTGGGGCAGAGAAGACGGACCAGGGAACAAGCAGGGGGCTGGACTGAAGGCCACAGGCAGGGCGGGGGGGAGGTTGGGGCAGAGCTCCGGACGGTGCCAGGACGCCTTGGGAGAACCAGGGGCCCGAAGCCCTTCGCAGGATTACAGGCGGACGGGCACCCGGGCTGGGAGTGGGTAGGCCGTGGGGGCTTGGCCACGGTGGGTGGCGGGTCATACACAGGCCCCCAGGGCCCCCCGTGGGACCAGTGCCCCAGTACGCACACACACAGCTTGCTAGATGCCTTAATCCCAAGAACCCAAACTGGGAGTCCAGGCCCTGAGCACGCTTTCTCCCGACTGTCAGTGGTCTGGCAGCGTGCCGATCCCCCTCTGGGTTCTACGAATGAGCTTTTCTAAAGGCAAGGTCTACAAAAGTGGAAGGTGAAGTCAGTGGTGGTTTTGTCATTAACATACCATCTTTATTTTTTAAATTAATTCTGCATAAAATGAGGTCCCTGGGGGGCTCAGTGGTTGAGTGCCTGCCTTTGGCCCAGGGCGTGATCCTGGAGACCCGGGATCGAGTCCCACATCGGGCTCCCTGCATGGAGCCTGCTTCTCCCCCTGCCTGTGTCTCTGCCTCTCTCTCTCTTTGTCTCTCATGAATAAATAAATAAAATCTTAAAAAAATAATTCTGCATAAAATATAAGATTCGTCCAAAATGGTGTCCACTCAAGTGTGGGACAGGGCTATGGTCAGTGACCCCCCCTCCCAGGGCCTGGCCCTGCTGCCAGTCCCCCCCCCCACCTTCCCTCCTGGCAACGGGGGAGAGGGGAATGTGAGCGGGCTGGATCTCAGGAGAACCCAACGGGTTGGGCGGGTCAGTGGAGAGCCAAGAGAGAACAGGAAAATCTGGGGCCCAGAAGGTGACAGCAGAGCAGAGGAGAGGACGGGGGCTAAGCGTGAGTCATGTCGGATACATGCCCTGACCCCGTTCACTGCCGGGAGGGGCTGCAGGGAGTCGTGCCCCTTAGCGACAGACCTTCCCGGGGAAATGGGACACGGGGGGGATCCAGCCTCGGTCTAGGCCGAGGGGCTGCACTCAGTGTGTGCCCAAAGCACGGATGGTGAGCCAGGACGCAGTCAGGGACCGGGGCAGGTCCTCTGGGTGACCAGGTCAGGGCTTACTTGGTGAACAGGGTCGGAGTTCAGACTGTGAACCTAGTTCAGGCCTGGTTTGGGGCTGAGGTGAGAGGTCAGCCTGCGACCAGGGGTGGAGTTTAATACCCGAGTCTAGGGCGTCCCTGCGGTGGCTGCAATATTTGAGCCACGGCTCCCAGGCCGGCGGCCCAGTCAACTCAGGCTGTCGTAACAAAACACTCCAGACCGGGTGATAAAAACAACACAGTTTGTTTCCCACAGCTCCGGAGGCTGCAGGTCTGAGGTTGGGGTGCCGGCAGCGTCGGGGTCTGGCGAGGACCCGCTTCCTGGCCTGCAGACGGCCCCGCTCTCGAGGTCCTCGCGTGGTGGAAGGAGCTCTGTGTCTGATCTTATCAGGGCATGAACCCCATGGCGGGGGGGGGGGGGGGCACCTTCATGACCTCATTGGAACCATCATCTCCCAGAGGCCCCACCTCCAAACACCGTCACCTCGGGGTTGGGCCTCCAACATAGGAATTTTGGGGGTGGGGAGGGACATAACTCAGACCGGAGCAAGGTACACCCATTCCATCCCAACAGCCCCGAAATCCTAACTCATTTCAGCGCCAGCTCAGACTAGTAAAGTCCGAAGGCCCGTCTGGGACCATGTGAATCAGGTCTGGGTGAGACTAGGATCCTCCAGCTGGAAACCTGGGCGAGTAGACAAGTCGTGTGCTTCCAGAAGACAGTGACGACACCGGCACGGCCACCACCTCCCGTTCCCCAAAGGAGCGATGGGAAGGAAGGAGGCTGTAGGGGATCCCAGGCAAGCCCCGGGGCCAGCCAGGCCGACTTCGTTGGCTCCTCAGACCCCAGGCAACCCCGTTTGGTCTGATTCTCTGCCCTCCATACCCACCCGCTCTGGGCAGGGCCCCATCCCGGCGGGTCTGCCCAGGTCAGGCTGGCCACGTCCTTGTCGTGGCGTGTCCTATGCGGGGTGCTGAGCAGCATTGTCAGCCTGCACCCCCGGGAAGCCACTAGCAGCCCCTGCTGGGACACGGCATGTCTTCAGGCATCGCCAAACGTCCCCCGGGCACAGAAGGACCCTGCTTGAGAACCTCGGCCGCAATCCCCGCATATCAAATCAGATTAACAAACATTTGTGCACCTGTCAATATTTGAGGAATGAATGTTCCAGGCTGGTGCTAGGTGCTGGGTGCCTTGAATAAAAAGGCAGATAAGAAAGGCTCCAGGGCAGGGCACCCCTAGTCCCAGGGAGGGAGCTGGGGGTGAGCAGACAGGCAGACTGCCACACATGAAACGGTGAAGTCACACACGTTGTGCCCCGTGCCGCACCTGAGTGATGGGACTGGGGCTGCAGTGGGGGTGTCCAGGGAGAAGGTTCTGAGCGGCCAGGAAGGAGTCTGGCAGAGGGGCCACACTCCCCCACTCCGCAGTGACCCTAAGCAAGGTCCTGGCCCTCTTGGGGCCCCAAGCTCTTCACCTGCCAAGGGAAAGACCCCCCCCCCAGGAGGGCCCAGCGCGATGGGTGCTGGAGGGGGGGCGCTGTGCAGAAAAGGCCCTAGAGGCGCAGCGAATCCCAGGGAGCCCAGGGTCTCACCTCTGCCCCACATCACTGCGTTATCCGGTGAAGGGGTAGGAGCTGCCCCCCGCCAGGACCTGGGGCACGGAGCCTGCTCCCCCAGCCAGTGCCCTGCCAGCAACATGTGCTCGGCCCTGCCGTGTCCCAGGGGCAACTCCAGGACGGTGAGGTCAGATGACAAAGTGAGGTCAAGATGCCCACCCCCCAGGGCCAGGAGAGCATTGGGAAGGGAGAGGTG